ATAAAAGAGTTTGGTAAAGTGGCAGGATATAAAATTAACACACAAAAAATCAATAGCCTTTATATAAACAGATAATGCCATGGCTGAAAAACAACTTCTAAGATCAATCCCATTCACAATATCTACAAAGAAAAATTAAATACCTTGGAATAAATTTAACCAAGGACATCAAAGATCTTTACAATGAGAATTACAAAACATTAAAGAAATAGAAGAAGACACACACAAAAAAATGAAAAAATCTTCCATGTTCATGGATTTGAAGAATCAGTATCATCAAAAATATCCATACTACCAAAAGCAGTTTATAGATTCAATAAAACATCAATGAAAATACTAAGGGCACTATTCTCAGATATAGAGAAAATGATGCTGAAATTCACATGGAAACACATAAGACCTCCAATAGCTAAAGCAATCTTATACAACAAAAACAAAGCTGGAGACATCACAATACCAGATTTCAAGATGTAAGTTATAATCAAAATAGCCTGGTACTGGTACAAAAATAGATGGACACATCAAATGAACAGAATAGAATCTCCAGAAATCAACCTATGCATCTACAACCAACTTATCTTTGACAAAGGAGCTAAAATCCATCCCTATAAGCAAGGACAGTCTCTTCAACAAACAGTGCTGAGAAAACTGGATTTCCACATGCCTAAGTATGAAGCAAGACCCCTACCTTAAACCTTATACAAAAATCTACTCAAATCTACAAATCTACGACCTAATACCTTCAAATTATTTTTTAAAGATTTATTCATTTATTTGAAAGTCAGAGCTACACAGAGAAAGGAGAGGCAGAGAGAGAGAGAGAGAGATCTTCTATCTGATGGTTCACTCTTCAGTTGGCCGCAGGACAGGAGCCAGGAGCTTCTTCCAGGTCTCCCATGTGGGTGCAGGGGCCCAAGGATTTGGGCTGTCTTCTACTGCTTTTCCAGGCCATAGCAGAGAGCTGGATCAGAAGTGGAGCAGCCAAGTCTCAAACCAGCACCCATATGGGATACCAGCGCTTCAGGCCAGGGCATTAAACCGCTGTGCCACAGTGCCAGCCCCATACCATTAAATTATTAAAGAACACTGAAGAAATCCTGTAAGACATTGGCAGAGGCAGAGTTCCTAGAGACACCAGATGCACAGACAAAGCCAAAACTGACAAATGGGATTACATCAAATTGAGAAGCTCTGCACTGCAAAAGAAACACTCAGCTAAGTGAAGAGGCGACCCACAGAATGGGAGAAAGTATTTGCAAACTACACAACAGATAAAGAGTACTACACAATTCCAATTCAATCCCATCAAGGTGGCATGTACCAATGCCATCTCACTAGTCCAAGTGATCAATTTCAGTTCACAATTGATCATAATGAAAGGACTAAGAGTCAAAGGGAGCACATAAACAAGTCTAGTACCTGCTAACACTAACCGATGGAATAAATAAAGGGGAGAGTGATCCAACATGGGAAGTGAGATACTCAGCAGACTCATAGAATGGCAGATGTCCTAAATAGCACTCTGGCCTCAGAATCAGCCCTAAAGGCATTCGGATCTGGCTGAAAAGCCCATGGGAGTATTTCAGGCATGGAAAGCCAAGACACTCTGGCAAAAGATCTCTGCGAGTGAGATCCCAGTGGAAAGAACAGGTCTTCAAAGAAGGAGGTACCTTTCTCTAAAGGGAGGAGAGAACCTCCACTTTGACTATGACCTTGTCTAAACAAGATAAGAATCGGAGAACTCAGAGGGCTTCCATAGCCTTGGAAACTCATGACTGGTGCATAGGGAGATTACTGATGCCATAGACAGGAGTGTCAATTGGTAAAGTCAACAACAGGAGTCACTGTGCACTTACTCCTCATGTAGGATCTCTGTCCTCAATGTGCTGTGTATTGAGATTTAATGCTATAACGAGTACTCAAACAATATATTTCACTTTATGTTTTTATGGGGGTGCAAACTGTTGAAATCTTTACTTAATGTATACTAAACTGATCCTCTGTAAAAAAAAAAAAAAAAAAAGAAATTATCAACTCCCAACTTGACTCTCACTGGGATTAAACATGACAATAGGTCTGATCTGATTTCATCATCATTTAAAAAAATCATCTATTATTTTTCACTTTATGTTTCTGTGTGAGAGCAAACTGTTGAAATCCTTACTTAATGTATACTAAGCTGATCTTCTGTATATTAAGATAATCGAAAATGAATCTTGATGTGAATGGAAGGGGAGAGGGAGTGGGAAAGGGGAGGGTAGTGGGTGGGAGGGACGGTATGTGGGGGAAGCCATTGTAATCCATAAATCGTACTTTGGAAATTTATATTCATTAAATAAAAGTTAAAAAAAAAAAAGAATACTACACAATGATAAAAAATAATAAACAAATCTTGTCATTTGTAACAAAATGGATGAAACTGGAAAACATTATACTTAGTGAAATAAGCCAGCCCCAAAAGGACAAATACCATATGTTCTCCCTGATAACTGGTAACTAATAGAGCACCTAAAAAGTAATTGATAGACTTGAAATTGACACTTTGAGATATAATGACTTTGAATAGCCCTTGTTGCAACTGTTGAGGAACAGTTTTTTTTTTTTCACACTATTTGTTGAACTCTTTACTTAACACAGAGTTAATCTTAATCTTATGTGTATAAAGTTAATTGAAAATAGATCTTAGTGAATAGGAATAAGGAGATGGAGGATGAAGAGGGTCAGGAGTGTAGGTGGGAGGGCAGGTATGTTGGGAAGAATCACTACATTCCTAAGGGTGTATTTATGAAATGCATGAAGTTTGTATACCTTAAAAAAAAGGTTACTGGGAAAAAAAATAAAGAATGTGTGTGAAAAAAATAAAGTGGCAGCTGAATTATATTTTATTTAATTATGTTTCGTTACAATCAAGAAAGAACAAATACAGTTATAATCAACTAGTGCTGTAATGAAAAGGACACATAAAAACAGGACTAAATTTAAGATTCTAAATAATTTTAAATTTCAAAGAAGTTTGATTTAATGAATAGTAAACAGAGAGCCAGAAATCCTTCACATTCTAATGACAACTTTCCTATGGACTACAGACATGTCTGCATTTCCCCATCTCAGATGAACGGTGAAATGTAATGAGTGAGACTACCAACCTGAAAAAGGTTTATGGAAGACCTTATGAAAAGGTTTTCAATCCCCTCTCTTTAGAAACTTTTGGTGAAATGCAAGCAATTTGCACAATGTATAAGTAAAGAAAGAGAATACACTTTTTAAAGAAAGACAATAATAATCTTTGGTATAGAAATAATAAAATGCTAACTCCAGAACTACCAGAGAATGAACTATAGTCTGCATGTTCTGATATAATTTTTATACACATTACTTATTTTTTAGTAAACAAGGGGTGGCTTTCTTAATAGTCTGTCATATTCTTGAAATTAATGTCTTTAAAGAAATTAATAGATCTTTGCTCCATGCATTGTTAATTGTGTCTACAAATATGATACTTCAATTTTTACTGAAATCATCTTAGTCAACCCTAAAGCTAGATGATGAGTGACAAAAAGACAAATGTGAGGCAACAGAATTTTACCTAGACAAGTTCCACTGCTCAGCCAGAATCGTACTCCCAAGTTGTTTAGTGTTTTGGCTGCTAGCTGCAATAATTCTTTTGCATTCTTCCTAAAGGCCATAGCTTCCACAGTGTTCTCATCAAGGTACTGCTACAGATTAAAAAAAAAAAAAAAAAAAAAAAAAAA